AATGTATACTAATGTATAAAGTAGCTAACAAACTGTGTCCAAACTACTTAGACTGTAATGTGCTTGTGTCCAGTGTACACAGTAGACAAACTAGGGCATCTACTGCTGGTAACTATATCACACCTAAACACAAAAGTATTGGCAAACTCTTGATTTAGAACATTAGATTATATCAGTGAACTGATCTCGGTAAATTTTACATTTTGTAGATTCCACTGCTTAGTGAAAAATTGGCTGTAAATAACACAAAAGTATTGACCCGAAGGGTCATAAAACTCTTGATTTAGAACATTAGATTATATCAAATTTGCATGAAATGATCCTGAGATAGTCCTGGCCAAGTGTTGTTTTTTAGGGTATGTCTGAAATCCAAGATGGTCGCCATCTTAACAAAATTTATCTTAAACTTCTTCAGTTCCACTGGTGCCATTTAGCTAAAAATTGGTGGGAATGTTAATGAAAGTTCGTTATTTTTTGAGCTTTTTAAAACGTCGACACGGTAGCCAGGGGAGCCATTTTGTAATATACATAGCGTCAAAAGTTAAGCACCACCCTATTTTTCAGACGTGAACAAACTTCAAAGTTACAAGTAAACAAAGCAAGATATTTTTTGTGCACTTTTACTAATTTTTAAGATGGATAGGCACATGTTATTTCGAATTTTATCGATTTAGGTAAAAACATTGTTAAAATGCAGAATTTAACGGCGTAAAGAAATGGGACAAAAAAAAATGGAGAATCTGATAACCAAAAAAAGTATTGTCACCACACATAAACGCAAAAGCTCAGTACATTGAAACGAGTGTCAAAAATCGAGGATGGCATCACTTGTTAACGCTGAAAAAGGTTTATCAATATCTGGTGTATCCTCCGTTCACACGGAGTGTTTCCGTAACACGTCTCCTCATGCTTTGTATCAGTCGACGGATCCGAATCATCGGGATTCTTCGCCATTCCTCGTGGAGTGCCGCCGTCAGCTCTTGAAGATTTTGAACTGGGGGATCTCTATTTCTAACTTGGCGTCCCAGATGATCCCACAAATGCTCAATAGGATTGAGGTCCGGGCTTTTCGCGGGCCATGGAAGAGTGTCAATTGCATTATTCTGGAGGAAGTCGATAACAGCACGCGAGCGATGGGGCCTAGCATTGTCGTCCATGAATATGAGACGAGATGCTAGTGTATGGTTGTCGAAATGGGGGACTACTGCTCTATTTAGGATGGTATTCTGGTATTGATGACCATTTAATGTCCCTTGCACTGTCATGAGGTCCAATTTGCAATCATATGAAACGCAACCCCAGATCATTACAGAGCCGCCACCGAATGGAACGGTTGGCAGAATGTTTCTTTGATGGTATGCAGTCCTTCGTTCCCGCCAGATACGCGTGCGACCGTCGGTAAGATGGAGCAAGAACCGACTTTCGTCCGACCAATGGATGCGCCGCCAAGAACGAAGGTTCCAATTCCTCCGTGCAAAGCACCAGTCCCTCCTCGCTCGCATATGTTGCCGTGTCAACTGTGGGCGTTTAATAGGGCGATATGACCGGATACCACGTGCATGAAGCCGTCGACGAACTGTGCTTAGCGACACTCTGTAACCCAGCCTCCATTGGCTTCGAAGAATTCCGCTATGGGAGCGAGGATTCCGTCGGGCGTTCAATACAAGAGCTCTATCATCCCTCGCGGTTGTCTTTTTGGGCCGTCCAGATCTTGGTCTATCCTTCACATGACCTGTCTGACGGAATTTCTGTACCAGACGTGACACAACAGAATGGGAAACGTTCATAACAGCTCCAATAGCCCTTGAAGACATGCCTGCCGTACTCATGCCTATAATTTGCCATCTTTCCGCTTCTGATAATCTCCGTCTTGCCATGTTTTCCAATAAAGCACGAAATAAGGCTCTGTTGTCAAGAAAATGTCTTTCCAGAACATGGACACAACGTACACCCAAACATAGCTTTCGTGAACGTGACCCCTGTTGTACTGAACGCACGCGCAGGGTGTCCCGCAGGTGTGGACGAGTACAACAGTGCACTTAGTAGAGACACAGGTAATATGCGTAACAGGTAAACGTTCATACGGCAGCCTTTCAGCGCAATTGAACAAAATATTACCAATCTAATTTACTGGTGCTTAACTTTCGACGCTGTGTATATGTTTGTGCAATCGTGGTTTTCCAGTGCATCACATATTTCAAACTTCTTCTCAAGTTTCACCAGTGGGATCGAGATCAAACTTAAGTGTCAAAAATAGGTAACACTACCTTCATTTCACCAAAACTACCATCTGAGTTTTACAAATAAGAAAACTATATAGCGATATTCCAAACGCATTCCTGTTTTAATATTACAGTAATGTTCTGTATAGTTTTTAAATGTGAATTATTTTGATACTATTTGATCGATAAGAAGTCAAGAAACGAAAGCAAATACTCCATATGCCGATTGTATTGACAGAGCTCCCTTCCGTGGTGCCCTAATGACCTTTTATGTGTTGACGGGGCGTTAAGAATGTAATAATAATAATGATAATAATTGAGGTTACCCTTATTGTAGTGAGAATTACTAAGCATATGATAATATAATAAATGACAAGTGTATAACATTGTTTTCGTAGGAAAGCCTTTTCCTGGTAATCTTCATATGGTAGCGCAAACGTGAATATCGTTTGTGTATCCTTTGAAAGATGCTAACCCTGATTTCTCTAGATTGTATGCGAATGACCTCTTGTATGTCGTGGGCTTGGTAAGACACCAGCTACTACAAGGATACACCACTTCAAAATTTCTCTCATTTCTAAATAACGTTTCTAATGTCTCCTTTAACGCTGGCATTTAGTTGAACACTTGCTTTTGGATCCGGTCATATAGAATTTTCTTCGTTAGCGGAGCTGATTTGAATTGATACGGCGTTGAATAAATTAAAGAACAGCTTAAATGTAGAATGAAGATTTATTTGTGATCATCACATTCAAATATTGCAGTATATCATAAAATATAATGATCCAAGTGTGGCAAACACTCAAAACTGCAGTATAGCAAAGGGGCGCTGATAACCACGTAACTATGTAAAGGTAAACAAAACGTCACTCTGTGTCATATTTATAGATTCTGTTCGTTATTTCTATATAAAAATCATTTAAAGTTATTTCTTAGTAAATTCGTAAAAATTGTACAAAACACACAAGTGAAAAGCATTTTGTTCATAACTTAGAGTGAAAAACAGTATAGCCAAACAGTGAATTAAACTGTATCATACATCTGGTTCGTCATTCTAGGATTCGTCAGTGATTATATGGACCTAAAATCTAATAAATGTTAAAACGTACAAAAATTCAATATAAATGTTAGCTTATCTTCTCACGTTCTAAACGTTTTCATTAACAATAGACAATGTATATCGGTATGCACAGAAAGTAAAACAAATAGGAGCGACATGCAAAAATCAACAACGAGGTAATGATTTGAAAACCTGGAGCACGGTAAATGTGATAAATATATATGAAAAATAATTGAATTGGGTTGAATGCTTTGTATGCCCTAAAAACCTCGAAAATAGTATGCTTACTTTCTTCAATAGTAAACAAATACGTTTGTCCGTTTGAAATGAAAAGAAAATGACGTATTACAATAAGTAATAATTGTTTCTTTTCTTGAACAAATATAATGGCTCTTACAAGACTTTCCATTGTTTATGTAATTTATGGAACGAACCTTAATTTTGCAAGATAAATCAAAAGATAAATGTGGCTAGTTCCGTAAACCATACAGCGGAAGCGAATTTAGGATTCTTTTCTACCTTGTGATTTATTAACCTCGCAAATATTGTAGAAAAATAGACATTTCAACATCAATTTTGAAGTCATTTTGAGTATTTATCTGTGGCCTGCATTGATACGTCACAAATGCAATCTGAGAGTAAGTGACGCCATTTCATTATTTAAACCTGATGTAACAAAAGGTTAAGTTACTCGCATGTAATATGCGAAAAAGATTACATTGGAATATTCACTTATAATAAGGAAATCATATGATGATAACGTTTCTGAACAATATCTCTGCTCAGTGAGAAATTTGTATTTCATACCTATCAAACAGATACATTGAAGACCACTGAGGCAGCCTTGTATATGAAAAACAAATTTAATGTATCGATAGTTTCAGAAATATTTGCACTTGTCCATCGATGGAACGGATAGTAATTCCTGATGACAACGTCAAGAAAACTGCAAAAGTCATGTGCTTCCTTCAAATATTCCCTACCGAAAATATTTGACTGTTCAGGCGTATTTGGTTTTTTTTGCAAATTGTCCACTGTTTATGCCAGGAATTCCTCGCTTCGAATTAATTCATAACCCGTTAATCGCAGGGTGATATGAACATTCATACTTTTAAGTTGTCAATTGCCTGTGGTATAAATTTGAAGTGTCACCTTGTAACTGACAGGGTCTTGGAATTTCTGGAAAAACCATAAGAATCAAGCATTATATATATATATGTAACTGAGATGTGGAAAATCTACGTAACAATCCATCAAAATTAAAAGTTATCAAAACAACAATAAAACTACAAGAGGTGAACTTAATCATAATCAAATAAAATTAGGGCAAATTAAAAACAACAACAAAATTTACACGAGACTCCTAAATTGGTACAAGTACTATACTAGTAGTTTGCAGTGGTAACATAGATGATGTATTGTCTCCATTTACCATGATGAAATCGTGATCTCGGCACCCTTTGGCGGGAGGGGCGGAGTCCAAAAGGGGATATAGAAAAAAATCTGCAAAGACCTTACTCTTTCGGTATTTTGTTCAAGTTGGTGTGTTAATCATGTTTGGGTGAAAGGGAATCAATTTTGTATAAACGGGACTCAGTAGGAGAATTGTGTTTGAAAACAGTTTAGATCCCAATCCTGTAATCATGTTAAGCATTGCGAAGCGTAAAGAGATGTAAGGATTGGCCCTGGGGTCTGGACCCACTTCTAGGGACTAAGATTCATGGTACTAATATCTTTGAAAAAGTTGAGATCCCCATCCCTGAACTATATATGCCAATGCTGTTCATCAAGAGATAAATACATTCACAATGTACGAACTGACCCTTGGTTGTGGCCCAACCCATCTGCACTTAAATTCTGGGCGATATTTTTTTTAAACAGTCGAAATCCTCTACCCACAACCATTCACATATAGAATTGCTTGGCATCAAGAGATAAACAAATGGAAGAATTGATTACACAAAGGACATTGTTTCAAGGTCATATATTTTATATAGTGGCGAAACCAACCCGATAACCATATAAACACTTACTGGGGATCAAAAGAGATAGTCATGCTATAAGAATTTACCCACTGATCTTGGCGCATCAAAAAGATCAAGTGACTGAGCTTTAATTTGGAAATATTTGAAATACCCAACCTATAAGCATGTATAACATTGCCTGGCTTTCAAGATTCATGTGAGCGGTACAGGCCTTATGGACATCATTTTTTTCAGAACAAATTAATATTTGAACAACATACCAATATAGAGGCCAGTTCTTGTTCCGGGCTTTCTCCATTTCTATCGAGTCTGAAAGCATATTTTCCAATAAAATTATCTTGGCGTTATGAAGAAACAATTAGCAAAATGAATCATGTTGATGTTTTGTGAATGAAACGTAATACTACAGCATTATTCTCAAGCCACAAAATAATTTGCAGTTCTTTAAATTTAAAGTTGACGAATAATGTTAAGGATTTGGATAGTGTCGTCGGGAAGTCTACAATCATGTTTTAACGCACTGTAAAAAATAAAATATGTCCAGATTTTACATACCATTACACGTTGTTCGCTGGTGAGTAAATATTGTATTCGGATATATCATTTTCATTCCTGTTGATGTTAAATCTCACGGCGTTACATTTGTGAAAAACGGGACAGTATTTTTTGTTGCTCCGAAATGTTTTAGAAGAATTTTCCGTTTCTTAGAATTATCAATGCGTAATATTTTTCGGCTGAATTAGAATATTTAATTGATCGTAACTTACCCAGTGAAACGTTATCGTAATCTCGGGGTGGGGCTGCCTCTTCAGTTTTATCAAGATTGTTAACCAAGTCAACTTGAATTTTATTTTTATACATCATGTCTTTGGAATGTGTTTTGACGTCATTTTCGTACGTATTGCTGGCCCCTGTAAGTCAAGAAAATGGGAAATATAATTATTACAACGTCCACTATAATACTATACAGTACCGAAGGAATGAAAAGACTGAATGCAGAGTGGTATAAGAAAGCCACAAGACAATACAATGATAGGATACGATGGGAGACAACAGTGGGTAGACGTAAATAAAATACAGGAAGCAAATTGCCAATAAAAGAGGCAATGTAAATGAAAATGATGACAAATATGTACCAAATAGACATGGACAGATATGAGTAACAGAGAAAGGGAGACAAAACAGGGGACACACAAGAGAAATGTTGCAGAGGGCAATAAAATACAAACGTAACGAATAAATAAGACATCAAGTAAACACCAAATCTGAAATGATTACAGATTTGACAAGCAAAGGTAACTAAAAACTTTAAAAAGGATTATATCGTAACAAATGGAACAGGGATATAGGAGACATCGAAATGAAAAGAAAAGTTACAAAAATGAAAGAGGAGAATCCGCAGGATTGGAATTAGGAACACCGACAGCTCGAATATAAAGGCAGGTAACCCGTCTGATACGAGATGATATGCAGATGAGACGTATACTGGTTATTGTGAAATATGTGTTGGTAAGTATAATGGTGATATTGTAGATTACTGGTTGTGTTAAGAGAAAGACATGTACAGATATTTTAGTTCTATTCTATATGCAAAATGGACAATATATCAATGCTTTCAACAAGTCTTAAACATCACTAGAGATGGTTTTATTCAAATATTGCTTGGTAAGTTCGACGAGCACAAACTAGAAATATGCAAATTTAAATTCATCAAACTAGTAGTAACATTATGTACCCAGCAGTGGCATGGTATATCAGTGACATTGTATAACTTGACACTTTATATCTTGCGTTGACATTGTAATTTTTTTTGACATCCTTTAACTAGTAGTGATATTGTATATCTATAAGTGACTATCTTAAACAATTAGTGATGATGTAGTTCTAGCGGTGACGTTAGTATTACACGTAGTGACAATTTATATCAAGCAGTGACACTTTAACTAGTAGTGACATTGTATATTGCGAAATGCCATCCTATATTTATTTGGCACATTTACATTAACAACATTAACAAGTTGTGACACTTTAAGAAGTACTCATGTCGTATATCTATAAGTGACAATCTTTAGCAATTAATGACAATGTATATCAAGCAGTGATATTGTATAACTAGTAGTGACATTCTTTATCTAAGAACATTTTATATCTTGAAATGACATTGTGTTCCTAACTGTGACATTGTATCATTAGTAAAACGTACATTTGGAAGTGACACTGTAACCAGTAGTGACATTGTTTATCAAGTAGTGATACTGTATAACTAGTAGTCATATTGTATATATCTTGCTATCTTTACATGTCATTTGGTTAATCTATTTGTTTTACAAAAATTATATCATTTCGTTAGGTCATTTTATTCCATAGACGTTGACAGATATTATTTGCCAGCGGTCCAGGTAAAGCCATGTAACTCGTATACCAACCTAATGAGGCGTTCTTGTACGTGTGTGCCTCTAGTGCCTTAAAGTCTGTGTACCTGCCCTCATCGTCATCTGGGAAATGCGAGGAACAGGAAGCAGCAGCACTACAAGGTCCTGGACCCGAGGGCTGCATCTGATTATCCTGTTCCCGGCGTCTGTTGTTCAGGTTTTCGTTGTGAGAGTTGGTACCACCATTTGCTGCATATACTGGGTTGATGATACCGGCTATTCCATCTGAAAAAGACGCAATAGAGTTGTAGGTACTGTACTTTGGTGAATTCCTCACAGGTAACATGGTATAATTATCTGTCAGTAGTAAGTGTCAGGGAGACATTTGAAGACATGTACTGTCAGGGTGACAAATTCTAATGTTATGTGTGGCATTTTCAGACATTGTTTTATAAAAAAAAAATACTGAAGTCATTCGACCATGTCATAAATAGACACGTCACGCCTTGATGCCGTAACATTATTGCCACGGTAATGAAAACGTTCCGTCCGCATCGAAATAAGTCTGTCCTTCAGCTGATTGAGATATATATATAAAGAATATTCCAATCGAACTCCAAAACTCACGCATGCTTACAGAAAGCTGGTTTGCTGAAGAAAAAGATTTTTTAAACGTTCGGTTTAACAATTAGGAATCGTAGTCACTCTCTCGAGTCCATTGAATACATTCGAAAATAGAATTGTTCTCTATCAGAGTCAGGCTAATACAAACATTGACAAGGAACATTTGTTTTTCTTACTTTAAGAAGAATATTTATATAGAAACCTACTTCCTTGATTCCTTGCTGAATAAAACTGAAGTGTGTCACTTTTGGTTTCCTGGAGGCGCTTGACTCTTTTTCGGAAGTACAACACCAGTAAAATCACAACGATGATTAAGATGACAGCGACTACTGACATAGCAACAACGGTCCCATTGACGCTTGATTCATCCGGCGGAGCTACTCTTGTATTTACAGCCGCGGGTGCTACAAATAAAGATTACTTGATTTACTGCAATATCATACCTTAAAATGAAATAAATTATGAACAAAAGGCTTCTAGGACGTAACTGTCGTCTAAGTTGATTTTGTTGTTTTAAACAAATGACAAACACAAACGTAACAATACTGCCTTTTCCGATATCTAGCATACATGTTAAAGCCTGCAGAGCATTGTTTGTAGCAGGTGTGAATTGAAAGGACATTGCAGACATTTGAACAAATCCCACTTTTACGCTTTTGGAAGCATTGGACCTCGTTGGGAACGAAATCCAACTGAAAATTAATACAAATACTGAAACATTTGACCCCTGTGACCTAAAAGTGGGTCAAGGTCATTTACTTGCACCAACTTGGAAGCCCTTTTTCCTACCACGCTAGAGGCTGATATCAGACATCTGGACCTTTCGGTTATTTATTTAATCGTTTGAAGATTTAAACAAATTTGACCTTTGTGATCATGAAAGTGGGTCAATGTCATTCTCTTAAACAAAGTTGATATCCCTTCATCCAAACATGTTACAGGCCAAATATGAGACCCCTGGGAGATCGCAATAGGTCGCTTGAGATTTGGTTTCAAGTGACCTAAAAATAAGCTAGATTCAACCTCCAAATTTGAATACTCGTGTGTTATAACATGTAGCAATGTATGTATAAAAACATACAGCGTTTCCATTTACGGATAGTTGCACTTAAACTGTCTGTTAAGATACGAAACGACAAAGCAACAATAGAATCATTTACAGTTATTCCTTAATATGAGTAACGAAAACGGTAAAGTGATATACAAACTTCGTAGACTTACCAATACATCCATGAACGGGATGGCAGGTATCCTTTTTGTCACAGCTACATAACGTTTGACAGTCTTGGCCGTAGTATCCCTCGCTACAACCTTGGACATGGAATAATGTTATATATAGTAACATAATCAGAGATACATAATGCAGAATCCCTCGCTACAAACTTAAACATAGAACACTAAATATAGTAACGAATCATCAGAGAAGATCCTTGTTACAACATTCTAAGGAGTATTTTCCTTTATGCCGACAAACGAATTATCAGCGTGGTGTCTTTATAATAACAAAGGTAGATTTTCTAAAGAATTCAAACTTTGGATATCTAATGTTTCTGAAATAAAACACCAATGATTGCAAAAACATTACATCACTGCCTAGTTAGATGTGTTGTAAAATATTACCTAAATCACTGCCTTGTTAGGTATGTTGTTAAGTATTAACTACTTCACTACCTAGTTAGATAGGTTGTAATGTAAACCAAAAGAAAATTTAACATAAACACGAGTATGAAAAATACTTATTTTCTCATTTTTTTCCAAAATTGAATACCACACACTTTTCCTCCGTCACTTGGTCCGTTGTTGTAAATTTTGTCTATTTTTTATCTGTAAGGAGCGATATACAATTTGCTCTCTTTGAACATCAAATTCGAATACATGGAAAAATATATTGCCAATTAATTCTGACAACTGCATTTGTTCAAAAAAGAGTTATCAAAAAACAGTATGACATTGTGCCGTTCCCGTTAAAGATAGATGAGAAACTCACTCTGAGAGCATGTAAAGCCCGTGTAACCAGGAAAACAATGACACGATCCGTCTGTTCGTCTGCACTCTCCTCCATTCTCACAGGAACATCTCGACTTACATTTGTACCCGTAGAAACCAGGACTGCAAGCTGCAGTAATTTATCAAATCTTTAGTCAGTTTTACGTAGAAAATAAGATTTATACAATATACATGTCTCAGATATAGGTTAAGTCTCCATTATATAAGTTTTTGCAGAAAATCAGTTTAACGTTTCTCTCCACCATGCTATACATCAAAACCACCAGTATTTAATGTTTCGATGATATATTCTTGTAAACATTTGACTGGTATGTAATCATTATGAATGATATGATAATAGTATGCTTTTGAGTCAGATATGGCCTGCTTACAAATGACCTTGCTGCTAACAAGTGTGTGAAAAACGAGATTATGATTGTTTCAAAAATATAGTGTTCATTGAAAGTGGCTTACGTCGATCACACAAATCTCCAGTCCATCCGGGCATACAAATACAGTTTCCTCTGACGTAATCACAAAGGGCGCCATTTTTGCATGGGGGGCATGTGGTATTGCAGCTCTTTCCAAAATATCCTTTCTCACAAACTAGAAAATTAACAGACAACATATTAGAACTGCAATAGGATATTGTGTCTTTATTTAAAAATCGAGGATGACGGCAAAATATATTGATAGAATCTATAGCTTCCATACCTTGACGGCATTCCGGACCCTGAAACCCGGCCGGACATTCTTTTGCAAAGCACCTTCCGGTGATGTGATCACACACTAATCCTTTACTGCATTGTCTACACTTCGTTGTGCACCCGTCTCCATAGTAACCAGCGGGACATTCTATGTAAACAATAATAATCTCTTTACCTTTGTTTATTCATCAATTTGTATAAAAACAAGTTGTTAGGGGGAGTTTCTTATCATTCAGTATTTTTATTTCAAATCCGTCACACTCATAGTACAAACTTGTGAAAATATAAATTCAGAAAGGAGAGAATTTTGTAAATCAATGCCACCATCTTTGAATATCTTCTGAAAAATTAGCAGTTATCAAACCTACGACCACTGTTCATTCAGTGTTTTAATTTAATTGTGGAAGTAATCCTGAATCCACTTCTCGTCGTTGATAAATATTACCAAGATCTATACTCACTACTGCCACAGTCATCACCAAGGAAACCGGATCTACACAGGCAGTCACCTGACCTAGAATCACACGTGCCGTTGTTCTTACAGAAACATGTTTTCGAACAAGAGCCTCCCCACTTTCCCTCGGGGCACGTGCTTCGACAGTCTACGCCTTGGAGAATAAAAGATGGAAACATTGCGCTTAATCCGCTGTAGTTTACATGTCTTCAACAATATCGTGGACATTATCAGGTTTACAGGTCTTACTACAAAACGTCAATTTAAACGGAATATTAATCAATATGTATTTAAAGCGTGCTCGTATATTTTTAAATTTTGATTATTGGCTTCGAAATTAAACATGGAATTACAATTACGGATTTGTTTGGTTATTTTTTCAGCTATTTTAATCGCCTCTCAAAAGCCAGAGTAACTTGAACCCGAAAATCGGTTGCAGCAGCTTTTCGCTACCTCAACGCATACCATACGGAAAGACCGTCGCATGATTTTCAGAGCTATTCGGGTAACTTGTCCTGCTGAATATTCAAACTCTTCCCACTGAGGAATCAAGTCTTCTGAGATGAAATAGTCCGATGTTCTAGCGACTGAGACGAAAATTATCCAAATTTTAAAATTCACTTACCACTATATCCTGGTTTACACATACAGATTCCAGTCTGGTGGTCACATGATATAGCATTCATGACGTCACATGAACAGTCTTGACGACAACCAAATCCAAACTGCCATGGCTGAAATTATAATAGTTTTATCCGTTTAGAAGACATCACCTCTGTTATTTTCAGTTTTGATATCACATATTATCATGGAAAGCCGAAGTATTAAATAGCTTTGGTTTATTCTTGTTACCATTGATACTATATAAACCTACCGGACATTTCTGTTCACATAATGTCCCCATGTATCCAGGGAGACAGGTACACTTCCCATCAATCGGGTGACAAAGTGCTTTGTTTTTGCACTCGCATTTAGACGCACAATCTGGTCCATACCATCCTACTGGGCAGAGGGCGCTACAGGTCAGGCCATGGTAACCTTAAACATATCACCATAGTAACACGAATGTTTCTGTTAATAGCATGGTAACTTTCAAGTCATCACCATACATACAATCAATATTTCATTATATCACTATGGTAACTTTCAAAATATCACCATAGTAACCATCTACATTTTTAATCATCACCATGTTAACCTTCGAAACATCATCATAGTTACCATCAATAGTTTATACCATCACCACGTTAACCTTCAAAATATCACTGTAGTTACCATTGGTAATCTGCCTAATCATCTTAGAAACCTTCCGCAAATGAGCATGATTATCCCCTGTTTATTTTATTTACAATAAAACGTTTGATTTATTATAGCTGTGTGACCTCTACTGCTAGAGTGTTTAGTGATACACACCTGGAGCACATCGGCAGTAACCGTTTCTTGCCATACACGTGGCTCCGTTCTTACACAGGCACGGCTGAGTACATCCAAATCCATAATATCCCTCCGGGCAATCGTTTTCACACCTGTAACATAATGCCTGAATCATACACACTTGAACAACATTTAAATCAAAATGATCGCAATTATTTCAATCATACCTCGCTTTTCTCTGAAGTTAGACGTACGACATCTATTTTTGGACGTAAGACTTCCTTAAGGTATCGTAATAAAAAAATTTAATCAAGATCAGAAGTGCGAACAAAAAGTGAGATCATCCAGCAAGATTTTATAGGATTTTTCGAGGATAAACTTTTTCGGACATCTATATACTTACTCATGCTCAGTACACTTCCGGTGGTTTTGAGGATGGGTATAAGAAACAATATATATTTTAGTTGTACAGTGGATGAAGAAACATACTTTTTACCAATGAATCCTGGAGCACACTGACATTTGCCGGTCACATGATGGCACAGACCGCCATTGAGACAGTCACATGACATGGAACAAGAATCCCCGTATGTAGGCGCAGGACATGGCTCGTCGCACGTGTGTCCGTTCCATCCAGATTTACAAATACACGTGCCTGTGATTGGATGGCAGTCACTGATGTCATGAAATAGAACAGATTTGTATAATTGTTACATAGCATAATCTTTCATATGTTTTGTAGAAGTTTACTGAGTTTGACGGCGAATAATTCACATGGTTTCAAGCTTCAATATGACAGAATCCTGATGATTTGGCACAAGTAACAAAATTATTTTAAAGGCAACTTACTTTATCCTATAAACCGCATGGAAGTATAGTAATATTTTGAGTTAACTATATGAAACGGTCCACAATATTATCAAGAAACCTTATTTCACAGTCAACTTTAGGTGTTTCAATCCAAAAGCAAAGTTGTATCACCTTTTTGTGCGCTCTGTGCTACAGTTACACATCTCATCACAGCGTTCACCGTACAGTCCATCTGGGCAGTCTGGAATTATAGTGTGTTGAATATGGTAGTCACAATATGATGTCGTAATGCATATTAGATAAAACTATATTTGATAGTACTTTTGACATCTAATTATATTAACTAAAACGGTCATCGCAAACTTGATTTTAAACCGATATGTTTTTATAACAATGGTCGAAAAATAGAAAAATGAAGGCATGACACAAGTCCACAAAATTAATTCAACTTAATCTAACCTGCGTTGTTACAAGAACGCCTTAGTTCATCCGAATCAATTTGAATTAGTAAAAAAGAGATTTTTGCGACCATGAAGTATAATCTAATGCTGAAGCATCGAAAGAAGTGTATATTTACAACTGTATATTGACCTCGTTTTTCACAATTGTCTCCATGGTAACCAGCCGGGCAGGTACACTTTCCGGTCACGTGTTCACAAGAACCGCCATTTTGACATTCACACTTTGATTGACATCCGCTTCCAAATATCCCCGGTTTGCACTCGATTTCACATCTGTAATCGATTTATAAACATTTTCTCAAACGGTGATAGCTATTTTGATACACATTAAATTAGTCTATTTAAAACAAGTTGAGCATTGGCAGTGCAACGTAACTAAATTTGTGTAGAACTTATTAAACTATACGAAGATAACCATAAAAGTTCCACAAATCAGAGCATTTTACCTATCTTCTGATGAATAACATGCTATTCAGAGCATACGTTTTCTTTTTAAAACTATTTACAGTATCGGCATTGGCACCTTACGACATCTCTAAATCCCCATGTATGATACAAATTTATTTAATATTTTAATTTATGTATTTAAAATGTTTTAGTGAAATATGCTTCAATATACAGTTTAGTACAGACTTGTGTTATTTTTACTTTTGTTGTTGACCTGTGATATTCAACTCATAATTGTGATTATATTCAATATATTTTCTATAGATTTTTATCCTAGAAAAACATACTGGTTATGGCCTACTTACTTCTGTCCTGTGAAGCCTGGTGCACAGGAACAGTTACCTGTGAACCGATCACAGAATCCGCCATTATAACAGGTACATGCATCGGAACAGTTAGCGCCTGTATAGCCGAAAGGACAAGGAACGGTACAGTAATCCCCCTGTCAACAGAAGGGAACGAAATATAACTATCTTAACACGGCTGGTGGAGCAGAGAGACGTACATTTAATTCCCAGTTCACAGTGGGCAACAATATATAGCAATATTAACACGGCTGGTGGTGCAGAGAGACGTACATTTTATTCACAGAGGGCAACAATATATAGCAATATTAACACGGCTGGTGGTGCAGAGAGACGTACATTTTATTCACAGAGGGCAACAATATATAGCAATATTAACACGGCTGGTGGAGCAGAGAGACGTACATTTTATTCCCAGTTCACAGAGGGCAACAATATATAGCAATATTAACACGGCTGGTGGAGCAGAGAGACGTACATTTTATTCACAGAGGGCAACAATATATAGCAATATTAACACGGCTGGTGGTGCAGAGAGACGTACATTTTATTCACAGAGGGCAACAATATATAGCAATATTAACACGGCTGGTGGTGCAGAGAGACGTACATTTTATTCACAGAGGGCAACAATATATAGCAATATTAACACGGCTGGTGGTGCAGAGAGACGTACATTTTATTCACAGAGGGCAACAATATATAGCAATATTAACACGGCTGGTGGTGCAGAGAGACGTACATTTTATTCACAGAGGGCAACAATATATAGCAATATTAACACGGCTGGTGGTGCAGAGAGACGTACATTTTATTCACAGAGGGCAACAATATATAGCAATATTAACACGGCTGGTGGTGCAGAGAGACGTACAGTCATTTCCCATTAAGATAGAAAGTATATATACCTCACCATTAAGATAGAAAGTGTTTATATATCACCATTAAGATAGAAAGTGTATATATATCTTACCATTAAGATACAAAGTGTATGTATCACCATTAAGATAGAAAGTGTTTATATATCACAATTAAGATAGAAAGTGTATATATATCTTACCATTAAGATACAAAGTGTATGTATATCACCATTAAGATAGAAAGTGTATGTATATCACCATTAAGATAGAAAGTGTATATACCTCACCTTTAAGATAGAAAGTGTATATATATCACCATTAAGATAGAAAGTATATATACCTCACCATTAAGACAAAAAGTGTTTATATATCACAATTAAGATAGAAAGTGTATGTATATATAGTGTTTATATATCACAATTAAGATAGAAAGTGTATGTATCACCATTAAGATAGAAAGTGTTTATATATCACAATTAAGATAGAAAGTCTATGTATATCACCATTAAGATAGAAAGTGTATGTATATCACCATTAAGATACGAAGTGTATGTATCTCACCAGGAAGTGTTTATTGAAACATTTAGGACACTATGACATCAATTCTTTTTAACCTGCATTTCACAATAAGATGACTTCAATATAAGACCATACACGGACTAAATGGATAGAACTCATAACAACCCCCAACCACACGTCAAACCAGATATGGTCTACCTACCGTCCATCCGTGTGTACAGACACAATGTCCGTCCCAAACGTCACATTTACCGTTATTCTGACACTTACAGTCAGTCTTACAATCTTCTCTCTGACGACACCGCGTCTCACACCTGTAATATATAATAATACAGCTTATGTTTAGGTGTTTGTTAGATAATGATGAGGATAACTTTTTCTACCAAAGCTAGCAAATCCGACTAAAGTAATATGTATTACGGTTGCCATGCAATACTACCACTGTGAACGACAACTACAAACTAGCAAAGCCACCCCACGTGACGTTACTATTAAAGACTTCTTACAACCGACCTAAACCATATCACGTTGTTGGGAACGTGCTTGGTCTTCCAGTTTGCAAAAAAGGGAGAAAGTCGTTAAAATTCAATATTAACAAACAAAATGTTGTACAGAAGGCACACATGTGAAAAGCAAAGTTTAATACAAATTTAGATAGAGTTGAGCTAAACAATGGATTAAACCGCACAGGACAGCTGTGTCGCCCTCCAAGTACCCGTCATTAATGCTAAGGGCCAATGCTAGGAGGCAACTAAAGAACGGCTAAAGTGATCAAACCAAAATCTACAATCTACATTGGGAGGTGCATCAACCCCACAATTAAATAAAATTTATATTTTTTTCATCTGATAATTTTAAGAAATAATTCACACAGGTTTAACTAGAACGTTCTATGCCAACTTTAATATAAGCATCAATATTAAAATACCTAGGGATGTGTTTCCTACATCAGCAGTACAGCATTACTTACAGTGGTCCCTTAAATCCTGGTCTACACGTACACATGCCATTGGCTGTATCACATTTCGCGCCATTTTTACATTTACACAGCTGTTGACATCGTACACCATACGTTCCTTGAGTACACGGAGTCTGGCATTTCTCACCTGTCCAGCCTGTAACACCAAAACACAAAATACATCACCGAACAAAAACAATCAAATGTAGTTTATCTTCCGATGGCAGATGAAAAAGATACATTTCCAATATGATGGGGAAATTAAATAGCTTTGAACACGGAGGACAATGGAGGTTAACCGTCATGGTCAAAAGTAAAAAATATGTAACATATTGAGGTAACAAACAAAAGTTACACGAAAGAAAGATGAATGTCCGTACAAAAAAGGAAGAGAGATACATTGACACACGCCTGTGATTGGTTCACTATTTACCTGTCATACACTGACACACACCTGTGATTGGTTCACCACTTACCTGTCATACACTGACACACGCCTGTGATTGGTTCACCACTTACCTGTCATACACTGACACACACCTGTGATTGGTTCACTATTTACCTGTCATACACTGACACACGCCTGTGATTGGTTCACCACTTACCTGTCATACACTGACACACACCTGTGATTGGTTCACTATTTACCTGTCATACACTGACACACGCCTGTGATTGGTTCACCACTTACCTATCATACACTTACACACCTGTGATTGGTTCACCACTTACCTGTCATACACTGACACACACCTGTGATTGGTTCACCACTTACCTGTCATACACTGACACACGCCTGTGATTGGTTCAATACTTACCTGTCATACACTGACACACACCTGTGATTGGTTCACTATTTACTTGTCATACACTGACCCATGTTCACCACTTACCTATCATACACTTACACACCATTACAGTTACAGGTGTACTGACAATTTAAACCCCATGTTTCGTTTCCACAGTCTGAAATTTAGAATTTTGAGTTCCTTTATGTAATATTCCTTATAGATCACCGTTAACATGTATTGGTACAATTTAAATATAATTGACAATACCGTCATAAGTGGTTAATCATTGGATCGTTAAGGCTACAGAATGAAGGAATAAAGATCAAAAAGGAAACGAAATCGAACAAACGAGAAATGTAAATACGTAGCTGTGGTAATCATATTTGTGTTAACGCTGTATTTCTCAGTCACTGTTTATAAAGCATTTTCAATCCCATGATCATCAATGTCGTTAACTCAGAGTTACTTGCGAATTTTCTAGATCATTTAACTCGGAAAAATAAATGTTGTCCGCGTGTCTGAACATAGTTTGTCGTTAAAATAACGTATTAACAAATAATAAATAAATGTATATTATGTACAAGTCAGGACACAGACCGACACCATATTGACGGTTAGTAAACCTCGCTTGAGAAGATAACAGGAAAACAAAGAATAGATCACATAAAAATAAAACAGTCGGATATTGACGTGAACAAATTAAACGGAGAGAAAGAGCCGAATAAAAATACAGAAATGTCGAGCAGACAGGTATAATGATATTAACAAATGCGATATAAGTATGGATGTAAGTAACAACAATAAAAAACAGACTTGACTTAATCTGAAATAATAAAAATCAGGCCACAAGGCAAAACGAAATAGGATAATACTGTCAGCATATCACTGCAATGGTTGAACTGTGATTGAATATATATAGCTACATGTACTACATAAAACAGAGGTTGACGACAGATGAATAGACAAGACAGAGTTTTAGACAAACGCAGAAACGAAGCAACACATAAGCATAGACACAATTAATCATACAATAGACATACCGACAAATAGACAGACAAAAGAACAGACAGACAATCGGACTAAAGAACAGACAGACTAAAGAACAGACAGAAAGACTAAAGAACAGACAGACAGATAGGCTTAAGAACAGACAAATAGACAAATGAACAGACAGAAAGACTAAAGAACAGACGGACAGATAGACTGAAGAACAGACAGACGAACTAATGAACAGACAGACAGATAGTCTAAAGAACAGACATATAGACTAATGAACAGACAGAAAGACCAAGAACAGACAGATAGACAGACAGACAAAAGAACAGACAGACAGACTCATGAATAGACACGTAGACATAGTATCTTACGTGATGAACAAGATTCACCACTCCAGCCAGGGTGGCAGAAACAAAGATTAGGAAACACACATGCCCCGTTGTGACAACCATTAGGACAGTCGGCTGAAATATGAATTAAAACAGAAACATGCAATAGAGAAGAATAGTTCTTTGGTTCAAAGGTTCATTATCCACGTGAGCGTGTTTTGTTAATAACTATAATGGGGTTTTGGTAGTGTGTCTAATGTACTACAGTTTATTTAGTAGTTGATTGGAGGTAAACTGATGTTTAAGTGATTATCTCCCTTGGTAAACTGTCTATGGTACGTCAGTTTGTAGGTACTGTATGTAAGTATAGTGATACTTATTGTATCTAGATTTCAGTTGTACGATTAAGTGTGCGTTAGTGTGCTGTATCTGTAAATAATGGTAAAGCTGCGTGTCGGTGCAATGACAATAATTGTAGGTTGTGTAGTTGTACTTTTTGTATATTGTGTGATTGTATGTTGTGTAATAGTGTACTGTTGTGAATGTAAATGCGTATTTTTTGAGAGTGTTGTGGATTATATATGTCTGGGTGTGTGAGGGTGTGTTGGTGTGTGTGTATGTGGTTAAATCTATTGTACGTGGGCGTAGTTACTTTAATTGCACGTGAGTGAAGTTACTTTTATTGTACATGGGTGTAGCTACTTAATTGCACGTGAGTGAAGTAACTTATATTGCACGTGGGTGTAGTTAAATTTATTGCACGTGGGTGTAGTTACTTTTATTGCAAGTGAGTAAAGTAATTTTATTGCACGTGGATGTAGTTAAATTTATTGCACGTGGGTGTAGTTAATTTTATTGCACGTGAGTGAAGTTACTTTTATTGCACGTGGGTGTAGCTTCTTTAATTGCATGTGAGTGAAGTAACTTATATTGCACGTGGGTGTAGTTACTTTTATTGCACGTGGGTGTAGTTACTTTTATTGCACGTGGGTGTAGCTTCTTTAATTGCACGTGAGTGAAGTAACTTATATTGCAAGTGGGTGTAGTTAATTTTTTGCACGTGGGTGTAGTTACTTTTATTGCACGTGGGTGTAGTTACTTTTATTGCACGTGGGTGCAGTTAATTTTATTGCACGTGAGTGAAGTTACTTTTATTGCACGTGGGTGTAGTTAATTTTATAGCACGTGAGTGAAGTTACTTTTATTGCACGTGGGTGTAGCTTCTTTAATTGCACGTGAGTGAAGTAACTTATATTGCACGTGTGTGCAGTTATATTTATTGTATGTGAGTTTATTCGTAATTATTTGAACCTCTCTGTTTATCCATTTATACGGGAAAGATTTAGAAAATAAGAAATTGAATTGATCAAATGATCAATGAACTCAGTGTACTTTCAAAAGAGAAAAAACTAACTTGTTAATAAGAGTTAACGAAGAGATAAAACCAGAAAACCCAGATAGGTATTATAAAACAAATAAAATGCGGAAAAAATTAGTGGAGGTTTTAAAATACTGTTATCTATTTACTTACGTAGACATCGGCCGTCCTTTTCCTCATACCCAGCACAGCAATACAGTTCCGTTTTGTCAGAGTCAGTATCTTTATATACCAACTCACTCTTGTATAACGTGCTACAGGAAAAGTGGCAAAATAGACATTAATATTTTATACAAATAAAGCATTTTGATATTCAGCGTTATGAGAGGTGCACACAAATATGAAGTATTAATGAGAAATAGCAGGCCTGCGTTGGACGACTTGCGACGGACCTCAGGTATGTTTCTCAGTAAGGTGGCCACCAGTTTCGTATCGTTTAAGGAGACCGCGACGCAAAATGAGACTGGATGTTTACGGATCGATAAATCCAGCAGACAATAAAATATGTAAATAGTTTCTAACAAGTACCGTCATGACGTCCACGTTTATATTTCTATAGTATTCATTTTGTGATATATTTTTGTGCCTTAAAATAAATAAAAATATACTTCTTTTCCTATATAAATAATGCTTACAAATTAACACTAAAACGCCCTCTGTGTTTATCTATATCTCGCTAATTTTGCTGTATACATTAATTCACAAATTTATTTTTTACTGTGAAATATGTTTTGTAAAGTTTGTTGAATTAAGCGTATTCACCGTAATACGAATTATCAATTGGTACAAAGACATTGACAAACGCATTGTTATTACAGAGTGTATATACATGCTCAGTTGGCTATCGATTTAAACATTAACATGAATCGGCAATCTGTAGTAATCATGCATTTATACGAGTACAGAACAAGCACGAAAAAAAAAAAAAATTTTATAAATGGATATTTATTCCATATTTTTTTTTTATAAAATATGTTTACACGGTGACTAAGATTTGTAAATTATTTTGAAGACATTTGTATTCATGGACATTGTTTATCAAGATCTTATGCTAGTATTAAATTTATAATTGACACGGGCTAAATCAATTAATTAACTCTCATATCGAAATATTTGATTAGTTTATTTCTCATACCCATAAATCATTACAATTTTCCAATAACGAATGGTGTTTGGTAACAGTTTTTTCATTCTTTTTTATTCCGAGAAAAGGAGGACATAACATTAAGGTGTTTTTAATGATTGATAATATTTTCTCAGTTTTACAGCCATGTTGGTATTGAAAATGAAAACAGAAACAGTGATACGGACTATGGTCGTCTCTGATAATTTAGTTTTCAAGATATCCATTTATTTCGGGATTTCGTTCAATTCTCAAATGCGGGAAAAGAAAAGAAAATTCTTTACTTAATGATAAAAATGTTTATCTATTCAACACCGACATAAATATTCTCTATAGGAATGTCTAGTAGTGAGAAATAGCAACATATATAACATATTGATATTTGTAATTAAACCTCATCAAAATCCTGATACCCGGATTAAAATCATCACGAAGGGGACAGGGACACTATAGTTGATGCCGTACATTATATTTATTGGTGTACACTATACTTATTGGTGTACACTATACTTATTGGTGTACACTATATGTATTACTGTACACTATATGTATTACTGTACACTATATTTATCGCTGTACACTATATTTATTGGTGTACACTATATGTATTACTGTACACTATATGTATTACTGTACACTATATTTATCGCTGTACACTATATTTATGGGTGAACACTATATTTATGTGTGTACTCTATATTTATTGTATATATATTATACTATATTATGTATTACTGTACATAATATTTATTTCTGTACACTATACTTATTGGTGTACACTATATTTATTGGTGTACACTATATTTATTGCTGTACACTATACTTATTGGTGTACACTATATTTATTGGTGTACACCATATTTATTGTTGTACACTATACTTATTGGTGTACACTATATTTATTGCTGTACACTATACTTATTGGTGTACACTATATTTATTGGTGTACACCATATTTATTGTTGTACACTATACTTATTGGTGTACACTATATGTATTACTGTACACTATATTTATTGTTGTACACTATACTTATTGGTGTACACTATACTTATTGGTGTACACTATATTTATTGGTGTACACCATATTTATTGTTGTACACTATACTTAGCGGTGTACACTATATGTATTACTGTACACTATATTTATTGCTGTACACTATACTTATTGGTGTACACTATATTTATTTCTGTACACTATATGTATTACTGTACACTATATTTATTGGTGTATACGGACCGTGACACCCGTGCTACTTGTTATAGAACGGTAAGTCATATCCGTATGATACATCGTTCATGCATCACAAACTTAACGCCTGCAGCTCATTGACAAACACGTCATAAAGGGCAGGAGGTCAAGTCGCTCTCGTCACATTAAGAAGTATGTGTAACGATGTCAGTGTTTGGTCGTGATTTTAAGGAGATCAAAAGATTTTGATTTTTTTTTTTTATTTTATTTTATAAGTTGTAAAACAATGTATGCTGGAAGGCTTAACAGACAATATCGTTAACACGGTTATCATTTGGAGTGTCTTCGTTAAGGTGTAACCGTTTGTAGCTAATTAACGCTCAACGGAAACGATGCTATCCTTTAAAGGACGGACATAATGAAAAATTTATAACTTTAACAAATAGGTTACTTCAGTTCTGGCGAATTACAAAATAACGTTTTCAATGCAAAATAAGTTTTATGATATTAATTAAAGTGTGCAGACATGTCACAAGAAGCACAAAAAGCAAATAACAATATGACAAGTTAAAAAGCCGGAAGTGAAAAAGTGGCATTTCTTCCTCAGCACGATAGAAGACAACTTACTAGCAGCGTGTACAACGAAACAGCTGTAATATATTTGGACACCACGTTTGCGTGCAGCGTTCGTATGGCTTCTGTATGTATTTTAAGCGGGATTTGGTGACACTGAAATAAAATAAATAGTTGTATACGTTTTGTATTTTAGACACGGGGGAAAATAGGGCTTGATGATATTGGTGCGATGAGAGATAATGCTTGATATGAAAATAGGTGAAGCTGAACACCAAGCACATACTCCTGATAATATCAACCATAAAATCAAACGCTAATGTCGTTTCTTATGAAGACGATACAACGTGATCAAGACTCTGATAATATCATAAAGGAAGCCTTTATGTAGACAGGAGAGTTAACCGCCACAAATATAAAAAATACAATCCCATCTACCCCATTGGGGGTTAACACGTGTTGCAAGACCATTAACGTTTATCAGTAAGACGACACCCGGCCACGGGAGGAGTCATGGAGACGGAAAACCAGTAACAAACTCACTGAAAGGGGCGGAAGCCTTTAAGAGATCGATCAAACTTAAAGTCTTGTAAACCTGAACTGTGGACACGAATCAACATAAGTATGGTAACAATTAGCCCTATTAAGCAGTGATAACAAGTCATTTAATTAGTAATTAGCAGAGGTGCACGTTGTAAACGATATAGAGACAGACAACACATATACAATCAGTGTAGCATAAGCTCAGGTGTATAGCTAGTTACCTATTGTCTGGTCTGAAAATAAAAACATCAAACGTTATAAATACTGGTAGGCTATATATGTACCTCTGTGCATGGTTAATAAGACAGAGTGACAGTTTTATCATCATCTTGAAATATTAACTGTGATGATATATATCGTCTGATGGGGATGGGATTATAGAACAGTATCCGATGAAATGGCTTAGATACAGATATACAACTAAATAAATTCATCAACACAAACACAACCAACACACGTCATGTCAGAATATCGATATAAACTCAAATTCGATGAAACTCAAAATACAAACTAAGGCAAGAAAAAATAATTTATCAACTTCTGAAATGAAAGTACATATAACAATTTAAAACATCATCAATAGTAGATATAGATATAAATCATTTATCTTAGGTTGAACTTCATGCAATTAAATATTGTATCATATATTATGTGGGTGAACACTAAAGTTGATGACGTCATAGTAAAAATACTTTAAGACTTACGTCACTGTACGTTGACACACATTTGTCCCATTTAATTCTAATGACATCACTGATAATAACGTCATAAGTAATATCAACCACGTGATTAAAGTCTGTGCAGCCATGTTGTTTCTGAAATAAATAGGACGTGAAGAATGGTAATAACACTGAAAAAACACGTGTATATTGTATATATCATTAAAATTAATCTGTGTTTTTACTCCCCTCTACTGGATAGCCTAACAATCATATTAATTTGGGTTTTTTCTATACGTATTAGGATGTTATAGGTAAAACTAAATATATAATTAAAAGGTGGCCGGTTACCTTTTTCACGCCTACAGGTATAAACAAACAATAATGTAGGTTTTATCTCCTACAACAGTGTGAAGGTAATGTCTGTTCCTGGTGAAATGTTTGAAAATACCAACCAATCAGTGGTAGTACATATTCCCGATAGATACAGACTTTTTTTTAAATTTCAGTCTTAATTCCGTTTTCAGTATTCCATAAAAAAATCACATTTGTCATTAAGAGCGCTACATAAATATCGGTATCGTTGCAATCTTGATTTCTGACAAGATTTCACAGATAATGATCACACGTCACGACGTACGGCTGTCAATCAATCACAAAATCATCCAACCGTGACGACGTAGTCGCAACGCACTTTGCTATAGCGTGGTTTTGCGGAAGCGGAAGGTAACGGTAAAGTGATGTGGTGTATTTAATATTACATTCAGACTTTATAGACATCAATGTATTCTTGGATAAATCAGTTTCGTACTCTCTGAAGCAAACTGATATTAACAGTACATCGAAGTACAAATGAAAACAAAACAGTAACTGATACCAAAATATTTCTATTTACAATTACCTATCATCTTTATGTTATTTTGACACATCTAGTAACATGTGTGGAAATAATGGTTTCAATATTTTTGAAATTGTAGTAAATAAACTAAGTAAAGAAATCAAACTCCTGTTTCTTCGTCGTTCATAAGTACGTGTTTTATTGTCTGATATACGTTTATATCGTTTAACTAAAAACCTGAGAAACTTATAAAACTTATATATAGATGATACAAAATATGTCTGATATATGTTTCTATCAACAGTTAAGATACAAGACATGTCTGATATATGTTTCTATCAACAGTTAAGATACAAGACATGTCTGATATATGTTTCTATCAACAGTTAAGATACAAGACATGTCTGATATATGTTTCTATCAACAGTTAAGATACAAGACATGTCTGATATATGTTTCTATCAACAGTTAAGATACAAGACATGTCTGATATATGTTTCTATCAACAGTTAAGATACAAGACATGTCTGATATATGTTTCTATCAACAGTTAAGATACAAGACATGTCTGATATATGTTTCTATCAACAGAGAGGATACAAGACATGTCTGATGTATGTTTTTATCAACAGAGAGGGGACAAGACATATCTGATATATGTTTCTATCAACACAGAGAGAAAACAAGACATATCTGATATATGTTTCTATCAATATAAGATACAAGACATGTCTGATATATGTTTCTATCAACACAGAGAGAAAACAAGACATGTCTGATATATGTTTCTATCAACACAGAGAGAAAACAAGACATGTCTGATATATGTTTCTATCAACAGTTAAGATACAAGACATGTCTGATATATGTTTCTATCAACAGAGAGGATACAAGACATGTCTGATATATGTTTTTATCAACAGAGAGGGGACAAGACATATCTGATATATGTTTCTATCAACACAGAGAGAAAACAAGACATATCTGATATATGTTTCTATCAATATACAGGATCAACACAGAGAGAAAACAAGACATATCTGATATATGTTTCTATCAACACAGAGAGAAAACAAGACATATCTGATATATGTTTCTATCAATATACAGGATGCAAGACATGTCTGATATATGTTTCTATCAACACAGAGAGAAAACAAGACATATCTGATATATGTTTCTATCAATATACAGGATACAAGACATGTCTGATATATGTTTCTATCAACACAGAGAGAAAACAAGACATATCTGATATATGTTTCTATCAACACAGAGAGAAAACAAGACATGTCTGATATATGTTTCTATCAACATACAGGATACAAGACATGTCTGATATATGTTTCTATCAACACAGAGAGAAAACAAGACATATCTGATATATGTTTCTATCAACATACAGGATACAAGACATGTCTAGTATTGAAATGAATTATCTATATCGGTGAATTAATGAAATCATCAGAATTTCGTCCTTGAACTGATATCAGATCCTCGGCCCGACAAAGGGAATGATGGCAAAATAGTACTATCATAACATATAATAGTCGGGAACATATCATAATTCAAATTCAAGCTCAATATATCTAAAGCAAAATATGGACAACAAACAAAAAATTACACGGAGACTCGTAGAAATGTACAATGGACAAATTTAAGAATATTTATGTTTCAGTAAAAAATGCGTTATATCTTGTATCCTTATCACAGTATTTATCTTGTGGTCACATAAAGTTATTGTATCCTGTAGTTTCTGTGTAACATTTCTACTGCTGAAATAGTCTTAGAGAATTGGGCTTTGTTTTGCACTTAATGTGGTTTTTTTTATAGAATATCAACATAACTCCAAGGAAGGGTTAATTAATATGACTTTTCCCCATCTCTTAAACGTGTGACTTATGTGACTTTCATACCGAGAACTAACTTCGTACCTGATCTAATTCTCTTTATTTGTTTTCAATTTTCTCGGCGTAAAACGTGCTCCTGTAGAGAGCTTGCCTTCGAAGTGACGATTTTGGATTCGTGATAAGTTTGTGTTTACGTGTGGATGTTTTGGCGTTTGTGTTTACGTGTGGATGTTTTGGTGTTTGTGTTTACGTGTGGATGTTTTGGTGTTTGTGTTTACGTGTGGATGTTTTGGTGTTTTTGTTTACGTGTGGATGTTTTGGTGTTTGTGTTTACGTGTGGATGTTTTGGTGTTTTTGTTTACGTGTGGATGTTTTGGTGACAGTGTGTCATTGACATGATGGTATTTTCTTCGTTTTTTTAATTGTCACTAATTTATTGCTTTGTAATATTTACATATCCCTCAGACATACTACTTCCATTGGAAGTGAATAAATCCATCCGCTTTTTAATAAAATAAACAGTTTCGACAACATACACGGTCTACAATAAGTACTTAAAAGACATCACGTTTCGTTGCAAACTAAGGCATCCAAATAGATTAAATGGAATGTTATTGGTTTTCCTCGTCATTAAATGTAAACCTTTCTAGCACATGGTCCTAAATAGTTTAGGATTTAGGTTTGGTATCGTTAAAACACAGTAGGGCTGGTATTATGTTGTACTTTATTATTGAAGAATAAAACAAAAGATGCCCCGAGATTCTGATAACCCTCACACATTATAAAAAATATACCGACATTTTACCACTTGTAAATATTTGACCTAACTGACCAGCAAGCACAAAACATGAAATAAAAACAAATGTAAGAGATATGCAAATTAAATAAATCCAGGCAAGACAAAGTGACCATTCTACTGAAACCGCCGAATGTTGAGGGTAGACATCAAACTATCGTGCCCAGATTATGACATTTCATTGTGATAACACTGCAAAAGCAATTTATGATCACTGATTCAGTATAAAAACTTTCTTGTTTAAAGCTGAACGTCAAACAGAGAACACCAACGCTAAGTGTATTACGCCTGCCTCTAGTGTACATATTGTTGTGTGATTTGTAACCAGTATAGAGACTGTTTTACAGTTACGCGAGTTGAATATCCTATCTGTTTTATGACATAACTGACAGGTTCGCCTTCAGAATGGATTGGTTATGTGGTGATTTCCTATGGTGAGAATAACATGTTTTACGTGTAATCACCGGGTCACGTGACCTGTTTAATGTCCTAATGTATTCACCAGAGACAAACCGTATTTACGTCGTTGTAATCGTCTGTCTCCACAGTAAAGAAATATTACGTACAACACAGTGTGTGAAGAATAACAGAGTTTTCTTAAATAATCCATTTTTTTCTCCGGAACATTACAGTATTGATTTCACTGAGTGCATTTCAGGTTTCATATTTTAAGTGTAGTTGAATATTTTTTTTTCTGTTTCCAGTAGATCTAAAATGTACACATACCTGCCGAACGTTAAGCTGACATGCTGATATATCTGATGTGTTTTATGTGTGTGCAGGTGTCAAACTTGTGATATTAATTTATAACCTGAACTATCTATTGTTTCGTTTGTCACGACAGACTAATTAGATACATCAAAGCAGTTATAAAGTAACTTTGTTATATTGATAACCTCGTTTTAGCTGGACATATATAGACATATCATGTCCTAATTTAAAACCAGATTTTGTTTACGTTACATGGGTTCGTCTTTTAAAAAGTGATTCTTTACCTTCTCTGAATCAGAACATTTCGTGTTCTTTATATTTCACTAACTCCGTTGAATAAAGATAACATTAATGTTGTCAGATTGGTGACAAAAAACGAATCTCCGTAAAAAAAAACGGGTCTAATATTTGTTGAAAAAATATATCTGAGCAGTTAAATTCTTTTTGATTAAGATAATGTTTTAAAAAAGTTGTTTTCATTCATAAATGATATAAATAACGTAAATCCAGGATAACAAAACTGTACAAACAAAGAGTAGCGGGGGGCAGTGGTATCGGGAGGGTTTCTATGTTTCTATATCCTTGATATAGGAGTCGGAGGGGGGTATAGAGGTAAATTAACAGAAAAAAATAGAGAACACACGGAAAGGAAGGAATTAAAGGAAGGAAATAGTAAAGATCCCAATAGGAAAAATCGGGGAAACGGATCAGTTTTGAGTTTTTAATATTCCGCGGGAAAACACAATGAGGGTATCGTCCGAATAATTTGTAAATATTTTCACAACCAAACGAACAGATGCAGTATTTTTGTTTAAATACTGGCTTTCTTCGTTGTTGTGTCACAAAAATATTGAAATACGTCATCAAATTAACGGAGAAATCGGAAAGTCAATATATAATCAATTCATGTTAATACTTGTTAAGTGTGAGTCCGGGACTGTATTTGGACACGCC